AACCGTTAATATCAAACATAACATTGAATCCCTTATCACAAAATTGACTAATACTCAATAGATTATGCTTTAATCCATTCACATATAAAACATTCTTAATTTGTATGGAAGAGGTATTACCAATAGTACCAATACCTTCAATGTGACCTTTTGAATCATCACTAAAAGTCACTTCTCCTCCATTTTTGTCATTAAACTCAATGAACCGGTTTTTGTCTCCGGTCATGTGTCTTGAACATCCACTATCAAGGTACCATGAATTTGGATTTGTTTCCCGTGCCTTGTAGCAATGCTCATTTTCCTACAAACATAGATTAATTTCTAATTTTTGGTACCCAAATTCTTTTGGGTCCATATTCATTAGTTTCCAAAAATCCTAGTCCCCTTAGGTATCCATTTGTGTAGGATATCCTTATCTTTAGTAGTAATGAGCTCTTTAGGAACCCATATACTTCTAACGATTTTTCCATTAGAGGTTCTTTGGGGACCTCTATGATTGTAGTTTTTAAAACTTTTTCTAACAAAGTTGGATTTTGAATTTTCTCCATTTTCAAAACGTTTTGTTCCAACTTTATCAAAAGAGGCTTTAAGATCATCAATTTTCTTTTGATGATCATCATTGACCTTTGAAAGTAAATTTTGCAAATCCAAAATTTTCTTTTCAAACTCTTCTAGTTTGATTTGCAAATCTTTGATTTTACTTTCAAGATCGTTGTTGGTTTTGGATATGAGTTTATTTTCATTTTTCAATTTTGAAACATCATTTTTATATTTTAAAAACAATTTCTCATAATACGAAGCCAACCCATTATATTCCTCTAATAACTCATCATAGGATAAATCATCAAAATCAGATGAGTTAGAGGTTACCTTATAATCTTCCCCGAATGCCATCAAGCACAAGTTTACTACTTCTTGTTCCTCTTCATCGGAACCTTCTTCATCGCTCTATATAGCCACATGAGCCTTGTGCTTATTCTTTGATTGACCATTTCTCTTCAATTGTGGGCAATCATACTTGACATGCCCCGACTTTTTGCATTCATAGCAAATGATCGAGTCCTTCTCTTTTGGTTCATTTTTTAGGCCTTCATTTCGTTTGAATTTTCTTCCTCGGTAAGGTCTCATCATTTTTCTGAATCGTTTGGCAAACAATGTCATTTCCTCGTCATCTTCATCTTCATCCGAATCACTCTCATTTTTTTGTGGATTTGAGAGCAACTCCAATGTTTTTCTTTTTCTCCTTCTCCTTTGGTGTCTCTTCAATCTTATCAAGGTCCACCTCATCTTCAAGCATCATTTCATGAGTGAGGAGTGAACCGATTAGCTCTTCAAGAGTTAAGGATGTTAGATCCTTAGACTTGATGATTGTCGTCTTCTTTGATTGCCACGATTTTGGGAGGGAGTAGACTAACTTCCTCACAAGCTTTTCATTTGAAATGATCTCTCCATATGATTTGAGACCATTGACAACCGTTGAGAATCTATCCGTCATAGCTTTGATATCTTCATTTGGTTTCATCCTGAAATTTTCATAGCTATGCGTTAGAATACTAATTTTAGATTTCTTTACCTCATCGGTACCCTCATGAGTGACTTGAAGTTTGTCCCATATTTCTTTGGCGGTTGTACAAGATGAAACTCTTCCGTATTCATCTGGTCTAAGAGCACAAAATATGATATGGATGGCTTTGGAGTTGAGCTGGAACATTTTTGTCTCTCCTTCACTCCACAATCTTGGATGAGTGAGAGGCTTGATGTATCCTTCTACTACGACATTCCATGCTCCCATGTCACTTGCTTGAATGAAGTACATCATCCTATTTTTCCAATAGGCATAGTTAGCCCTATTGAAGAAAGGAGGCTTGTTGACGGGCATCGAATCGAGACCGGAGTCGATGTTTGAAGCAGAGGCCATTGATGACTTTGATTATCGATGTAACTCTTCCCAAATCGACTCAAGAGGCGATTAAACCTTCAAATAAGTTAGGCTCTGATGTCAATTGTTGAGTTAATCGATTGACGAATATGACCAAGAGGGGGTGAATTGGCAATTAAAATTTTAGTGGAAGCTTTTGCAGAAAATTGAAAGAAATTTGCACAGCGATTTAGAGTGGTTCGACTTTCCCAACCAAAGTCTACGTCCACTACCTTAGCTATCCACACTAAGGATTTTCCACAAATTCACTAATTTGTCTTTCTTTTGAGGACAAAGAGTAACCTTACAAACCCTCAAGAATTATACCCCAAATTCTTGAGAACACTCTCTCCCAAAGAGAATAATACAAATTTGCAAACTTTACAAGGAAATCCTCACAAGGTAGATTGTTTGCACAATTCTAGAACAAAGAAAAGAACACTCAAGAATGAATACAATTGAGCACAATAAGTGTTCTTGAAAGAAAAATGAATAATGAATGAAAAATAGGCTTGAAATGCTCAAACTTGAGGTTTGATGCTTTCTCTTTGATTCTCTCTTGATTCTAGTTGCTTGTTGTTTCTTGTTATTGATCAATGGCTTCTAAGCTTGCTTAAATGCACCTTGAATTACTTCTGAACGTTGGGGATCATTAATGAAGTTTTTGGAGCCGTTTAAGTGTGAAAACAATTAATATTTCTGCTTAGAGCGTGGGGGGAATCGGTACCCCTAATGTGGAATCGGTTCCCTAAGTGTAAAATTCAAATATTTCGACCGTTGAACAGTGGGGGGAATCGGTTCCCTCCGAGCATACTGGAATTCTCGAAGCCAAAACATTCAGGGGGAATTGATTCCCTCTGAGCAATCTGGAATATTTGGCTTTTAAATGGTTCGAAATATTTTGTAAAATCGTTTTGAAATTATTTTAAGATTAAAACTTAATTTTACACTTAAGTAAGGATTTAAAATGAACTTTGAAATACTTTGAGTAATATTTTGATATACGATTTAATATATCGAATATGCTTAGAAAAAATCTTTTTCAAAATTAAAATTCTTTTAATTTAAATTTGTTATATCGAAACATCAAAATGTTTTCAACATATTTTAATTTCATCCTTTTGTGTTCTTTACTTTAGTTAAAATTTTAATTCGCTCATTTTCATATTTATTCAATTTAGTCATTACACTTATAGTTGCATGATTTGACCCATTTTTATTTTATAATTAGCCCATAACTTTTTAAATGAGAATAATTTATTCCTTTTATATTAATTTCAACCTCACATTTTAAAATTATTTCAATTTGGTCCCTCATCAATGCGTGTTGTTTAATTTATTTAAATTTCTATTTGTAATTTCATATTTGTTCAATTTTATCCTTAAATTTATATTTTTCATAAAATTGATTCATGATTATTATATTCTTAGTAATATACTCAAAATCATATACAATTACAAATTGCAATTCAACGTTCGTGAAAGATTAGAAATAATTAATCCAAAAATAAAAATTGACCCGATTTGAACTCAATCCGTATTTGATAAAGATCCGACTTAAATTTTATCTGCCAAAGATGTGACCTAATCTGAACGAGATCCGCATGAAGTCAATCCGAACTGAATTAACCTGGTCTTTAACTGCTCCGGACCTGAACTATTTTGACATGACCGACATCGATCCGAACTAAAAGTAACCCGAACTGAATCTGATGTCAAATCAACCTGAAAAATGACCCGACCTGATTTGACCTGGACCCGACCTGATTCTACTCGAAGCATCAAATTACCCTGACTTGACATGTATATAATTTTACCCGACCAGACAGAATCCGACTGAAACTTGAACGATTACCTGATTTTACATCCCTAATAGTATAATACCAGAAGCAGACAAGATATATGAATGAAAACAAAAGGACTGAGCCTATGCCACATGGTTCTCTCTCTCTCTCTCTCTATATATATATATATATATATTAGTCTAATATAAGATTAAAAAAATACAAAAAATGGGTATAAGATAAAATATATAAAAATCATAATATTTTCGGTTAAGCGCAACTTAAAATGTTAACTTTTTAATATTTTTTATTAAATTGAAAATGTTATGAAGTATACAATATTTTTTGTTGCCAACCGAAAATGTTGTTGTGAAGAAGTTTTGCAACCGAAAAACGTTAAGAAAAAATTAACATTTTAGTTTGTGCTTAACCGAAATTATTATTTGTTTCATAACATTTTTCGTCACGTATTTCCTTAACCTTAAATTAGATTGTTTTTCTTTAGGCTCTCTCATGCTTAACTAAATAATGAATATTTAAATTATACATTTCCATTTAATTTTTTAAAATATTAAAAACTTTATTTTTACTTTCCGTAATTTGGCATCGAAATTATTATTATTTGATTTAGTTATGATGACTTCAAAGTATTATCTGTTTTAAATATTTTAACTATTTAATAATTAACGCTTAATCACCTATGTTTCAGTTACTGGTTTTCAAACCCAAAATTTAAAAGAATAACAACTATTTCTTTAATCACCAAGACATCAAAATTATATACTTTATTTATTATATAATTTGAATTCATTAATTAATAATATAATTTTATTTTACGTGTCATTGAATTTGAGTAATTCTGTGGGTATATATATATTCAATATGATTATTTCATTCACATAGTAAAATTAAGGATTTTTTTAATAAAAAAAATCGAGTTTATTATAAGATAATATTATCTATTTAGTTCTTTTTATTAAACTGGAAATACACACTCTTACAAGACACATATATTTAAACTTAAATTTTATAAAAAAAGAGTAGAAGTCTTAATCTACTCAATATTTTTTTTGAAATATCTTAATCTACTCAATTAATTGGTCAAGTTGAGGACTATTTTTTTTTGACACAATGTGAAGTTAAGTACTAATATGGACTAAGTGGGTTCGTACCAGAATATATTAAATTGTAAAGTTCAGGGGCCAAAAATTATTTTATCCGAGATAAGTGGATTGGTAAAATTCCCAACAGGATTAAATTTTTCATTCGTAATTCATTTCTCATTAGTTCATCTCTTTCTCTCTCTTGTATTTCCAGTTTCTCTCTATTAAACACCAAGCCTTTTCCTCTGTATTCCATTCTTAGTTTTATAAAGAACAACATTCATTTCGGAATTCAGATCCATTACAAGACACGATTCTGTTGGCCTCAAATCAAATATTTTCCGACCCGACAACCCTAGTTCCTCGTACTCTGTTTTCTTCTTTGAATCGTTTCTCATTTGCAGGTACACTAGATTTTTCTGGGTTTATTCTTTTTTATTCAATGGAAGATTCCGTTTTATAATACAATGAAAGTGTTGTTTAATTTGAGCAGAAATTTATAGTGTCAAATACTGCTCTTTTCATGCCAATATTTTGACCTTTTTCAATTTTTTCCCTCAACTAGTTTCCCGGAAAATGCAGCAAAGAGAATTTTTTTTAGCTATTCTTTAACTTTCTTGTTGTTTTTGTTCTTTAAAAAATAATGGGATTTTTGTAATATTACTGTGTTGCCATTATTGATCTCTTGTTCTGGAGCTAAAATTTCTTATGCTTACCTTGTATGGTAAAATGGGTTTTATTCACTTTAAAAAAATTTCTTTTCGTTTGGAATTCCATTTCCTTTTATCGGCTAAAATTCTCTCAGCAACCAGACATGAATTATTTTCTTCTTTGGCTTTTGATATGGTGCACAATTTAGCCTTTAAAAAGCTTTCATTTTGTTTTTTCACGTGTTGCTGATTAAACATTTCGTCAGATTTGATCATTTCAAGTTTCTTAATAATTAGTTTTTTTTTTTCAATTCACTTGTGTTTGTTTCAGTTGATATCAGCAAAGCTTAATGATGAAATAACGTTGTCTTCTTCTTCTTCCTTTTTAAAGTTTTTTGGGTTTCATTTATTGAACTCAATCAAAGTCCGTGAATCAGTCATTGGATTCTCCACAGCCAAAACTCGGCAGTCAACTCATCCCTCAAACTATTCGTGTTAGTGACTCGCTTTCAAATCAATCACTGTTTATAAAAATCTGGGATTTTATCTGTGTACTTTGTTTAAAGCTTGCCTTCTTTTTACAGGCAAAATACTGAAATAAATGTGATCGAGCTGACGACTTATTGGTTTGCATAGTCAATATCTCTTTTGAGACTCTGGGAATTTGATTAAGGGAGTATCAAGTTAGCTTAGTTTTAACAGTTGAACATCCTGAACAAAAATGTTGCAGCAGCAGCATGAACTGTGTTCCTCTCGGATTTTGTCGCCATTTCGAGAGGATGTCGGTGATGATGAGCTTTCGGTTCTTCCTAGACACACGAAAGTTATCATCACCGGAAACAATCGAACAAAGTCGGTATTGGTCGGTTTGCAAGGCGTCGTCAAGAAGGCGGTCGGCCTCGGTGGTTGGCATTGGCTGGTATTCTCCTTAACCATACATATCTGCATATGTGATTGTTGGTCGATTGTTTATAATTAAGTACCTAATACTGTTTAACTTATAGAGCCCTGGATTTTTAGGCCTATGTTTAGAGTTCTATTGGTTTTAGCCACCAAACTTATTATGATCAATGATTCATGAATGACTTCGATTATGCAAACTTGCTTCAAGCTCGAAATTTTACGAAGATCGAATATTTGGACACTCGAGAAAAGTTGAAATCCATGGCTCGACCAATGTAGGATTCTTTATGATACTTTTGATGTCTTCGACTCTTCGTTGTTAAACAATTTCATTCAATTTATGTTGTGCAGAATTTGTAGCTTTAACTTTTGGTTAGCTTTTCTTTTGATGTATTCGAGGTTGAACCTTTTATGGCCAAGTTTGTCGATGAATTGTATTGACTGGTGCTTGTTTTCAAAGGTTTTAAAGAATGGAGTTGAAGTAAAGCTGCAAAGGAATGCTTTGAGTGTGCTGGAACACCCGACAGGGGACGAAGTAGACGATGATCATGAGTTTGATAATTCGAGCAGTGGCTCGGACATTGGTGAGAACAAGGACATTCCCAACTAAAATTATTCATGTACTTTCAGCATTGGGATTGAACCTTTTTTCTTTTTCGCTTTGAACAGCTAGTAGCATTGAGTTCCACAGGCCTGCTAAACCAAGAGTTCAACATACGAAACCATGGGATCCATCTGCATCCTTGAAAGCAGCCAATCGCAGCAGTTACAGAGATGTTCAATCCATTATTCGTGCACCTCAATTGGTTAGTATCAAACTTTGCAGTGTGCACCTAAGCCTATAACGTATCACACCATGCACCTAATCCTTTTTCGTAATGTGTTTCTTGATTCTGAAGGTAAATTTGGCAGCACTCGACACCGACTCCTTGAGAAAATATTGCAGGCACTTCAAACTCGTATTCACTGCAAACTTTGACTGCAATGAATTTTCTTCGACTGACAAAACGATATTTATCTAAAGCAAGGGGTTCGATTTTGATTTGCAGGGTAGCATCGATGCTTATTCACCAAGGGAACTAATGCTTAACACTGTGCAGCAGCATTTTATGTCGCAGGTGAATTCCTTCTCTGGGAGCAAATATGTATAAACACGCCGCATTTAAGCTCCCTTTATCTGTATCTAACATCCTTTATTCGATACAGCCACTGCTCAACGACGTTCAGGTGATCATGGAATTCATCACCGCTGCTAAGAGAATGAAAACCGACGAGTCGGTGTAATGAGCAACATCGTAGTTATATTCTACATCTTATTCTAACATCGGATTAGATCCAATTAAAAGACTAATGGGGAGTAGTCGATGGACCACCCGGATGTCGTCCAGGGATTCTAACCTTGTAATATATAGCTTGTGGCCTTTGTTACTGTTCTAGTATATCTACCATTCCAGTAGTGCACATATATGTAGATGTTAGAACGGATGGATTCGTTAATATGTTCTGTGAATTTCTCTTCCGAGTTTCTCGAAAAATGGTAGCATGATGTTCATTCCGGGATAAACTTATTTAGTTTATCATCTTTAATCTGATTTCTATCATCAAAAAAGATGGATACCAACGTACCATGAAACATTAAAATCGTTGGAATGAAAAAAATAATGAAGGTTATGGATAATGTGGTCTCCTAAAATGGGAAATTTACTCTACAATCCCTTAAAAATATCGAAATTCTAAGTTAATCTAATGGAAAAAATTATACTTTGAAGTTCAATAACATCCCTAGACAAATATATGGAAAAATTACACCTAATGTGTAAAAGTTTATCCCTAGTTACACATCCAAGAACATAACCACCATATAATTGAAGTTCCTATGGAAAAATTAGACCGTCGGAGCTCGGTTAAGAAGAGAAAAATTAAAGCTTGAGTTATGAATATCCCAGTAAAGTCTAATTTCGTCATTCTTCTCAAGCTGCCTTTCCTCCACAACCGCTGTCCAGTTCTTAATCAGAACGTACGCTCCGTTATTCCACCGTTTGAACTGCATCTCATCATATTCAGTGTTGGTATCGCAGTCCAAGAATGAAACCTGCAACCCTTGGTTAATCTTTGCTGCCTGATCTGCGTTCCAGTGCGGCAGAATATGGGATTCCACCGACTTCGATGGCAATAATAGCCTCGACATGTGGCCGAGATCGCTGCTGGTAAGCTTCTTTTTGATGCGCCAAGGATCATGATCATCGCCATGGCCATGGTCATTGCCCGGCCTCAACTCGGTCATTCTCATAGTTTCTTTACTCTTCTTGTTACTTGTGGTCCAAGGTTCCCGGTTCTCTTCCATTGTTTTTCTCTTCTTCCCCGACGTAAGATAATCAGTAGGTTTATGATCCCAACGAGACAATTTTAACGAAATATCGACATCGGTCTCGGTCTCGGTCGGCTCTGACAAAGAAGCGCCACTGCTCTTCTCCACACACAACAGTGTATATTGAACCGCATGTTTTGTCTCGTCAGTTTTAGTAGTTTTGGTGGACAAGTTACCAATGGAAAGAGACAATTCTGTCAAAACATCGGCATTCATATCTGTACTCATCAGATCCGGTGGACTAATCTTCTTCTCCAAGCAATATTGCATATTATTTGCATGATCCAGTTCCCTCGTATAATGATCAAAGAAGAGAGGGAGTTCTATCGGAACGTCTGCACCGCTTGATCCCGACGGAAAATCCCCGGTGCAGCTCTTTTCCATGCAGAGCATAATCGTATGTTCAAGTTTATCGTAACAAATTTCTTCTTTTCCCTTGTCCAATGAAACACTGCTCTCTTCGGAATCTGGGTTTTTTCGCTTTTGACATGAAATTCCAAGCAATGAATTGCTTCTCCTTGTTCTCGTCCTCCATTGTTGAAAGCAGGCCGAGCACCGACGAATTAATGAAGAGGTTTAACTCCAAACCCTAATCGAAAATTGTATCATAAACAAACAACAAGTATATGGGTTTTATTATATAGAGATCGGACGAATCCTTGTCCAGGTTGAAAATACTATAGTAAACTTTTTCCTCGAGGAATTTATTTTCTTGGGTATAAATTGCATTCTCACTAAACCTTAGCCGTTTTTCCCCTCTTCTTTCTTCTTTTTCTTAGGTATAACTTGTGTCAATTTTATTAATCAATTCAACTTTTTTTTTTAAATTTTGTTTAACCAATAATGTATATGTTATAATTATTGTATTCTTAATTTATAATAAATTGCATTCTCACTAAACCTTAGCCGTTTTTTCCCTCTTCTTTCTTCTTTTTCTTAGGTATAACTTGTGTCAATTTTATTAATCAATTCAACTTTTTTTTTAAATTTTGTTTAACAGCCGATGACATTGATTTTGATGTTGGTTATCGTCCGCTGATTATTTTTTTTCTTTGGTTTTTTTTTAGTTTTTTTAATAAGAATAATTATGTTTTTGTGACATGTTCTTGCCTTTAAGGCACATTTATCTCTCCCTTTGTCGCACGTTTATCTCTGCCTTTGTGACACATTTTTCTTTGTCTTTTGGTAGCTTACGGTTTTTGCCGTTGTTTTCGTTTATCTTTTTTTCTCAGGGTTGGATTTGACATCGCCACGCCTGATCAAGATGACGCTTATTTGTTATCATGATGATCTTCCATGCTTTGGACCATCAGATGACTTGGATACATGTTTTGCCTTCGTGGATAATTTTCTCACGTCGTTTGACTCTGATTTGCGATTTGTCAGTAGTCTTTCAATAGCTTTATTTCCTTTTGTGGTTTGTTTGTCAATGTAATCAGATTTGTACGTATCTTTATTTTGTTCAAGCTTTTTGGTTAGGTTTTTTAACATTTTCCTTCTTTGGTTCTTATGTGATCTAGTTGGCTAGTTTTTGTCTCAATTGTAATAGGAAAATGTCATAAATATATTTTAGGCTTACGATTATGCTTGTAAATCTTCATTATAATTTTGAATATTTTCTATTTTTAATAAAACTATTGACTTTCTATCAAAAAAATTATAATAAATTGTCGTCTTTTTTTCTTCATTTGTTTTTTATTTAGCCGGTGGCGTCACCAATATTAATATTGGTTGCCTACCGTCGGTGATTATTATTTTTCTTGTTCTTTTACATGTTATGTTTTTGTTTTTGTTTTGAGTTTTTCACATATAAATAAGAATATTTGTCATTGTAACACATTTTTCTCTGCTCTTGTAGCACGTTCCTTATGGTTTTCAGTAAGTTTTTTGCACACTTCTACGGTCGTGTTGGTGCTTCCGCAAAGATCCTCACGGCATTTGTCGTCTGATTGGCTTGCTGATGGTCACATATTGTCAGATCCCCTCTTTTGTAAATGGTCATTTGCTGATATAATCAGACTTGTATAGCGAAACACTTTGCCAAATTGTTTGGTTCGCTCACTACTCCTTTATCACATTGTAAAATGTATTGTTGAAAACATTTTTGATGTTTCGATATAACAAATTAAGTTTAAATGAATTTTAAGATTTTACAAGTGATTTTCTAAGTATATTCGATTTAATTAATCAAATATCAAATTATTACTCCAAGTCTTTCAAGATCAATTTCAAACCTTACTAAAAGTGTAAAATTGTGTTTTATACTTAATATATTTTTGAAACAATTTTCTCAAAGTATTTTGAACCAAAATCAAGCCTAAAATCAATTTTTCAAAGTGATGCACCAATCCATGCATCGATGTACCATAGAATAAATTGAACATCGAATGCATTTCATGCATCGATGCACACACCATGCATCGATGCACTGGGGATTTTATGAAAACATCGAATGCATTTGATGCATCAGCCATGCATCGATGCACTCTGGCTATTTTGAAACATCGAATGCACTTGATGCATCGTTGCACTCTTAGTGCACCGATGCACTAAGGGTCCAACAATCAAAATATTTGAATTTTACACTGATGCACCATGGGTATGCATCGATGTACTGACACTCCCAACTGAATTTAATTAATTGTTTTCACACTTAAACGGCTCTATTGACTCCACTAAGCATCCCCAATATTCAGAATCATTTGAAGGTGTATTTAAACAAGCTTAGAAGCAATTAATCAACAACAAGAAACAACAATCAAGAGAGAATCAAAGAGAAAGCATCAAACCTCAAGTTTGAGCATTTTCAAGCCTATTTCATTCAATATTCATTTTTGCTTTCAAGAACACTTATTGTGCTCAATTGTATTATTCTTGAGTGTTCTTTCTTTGTTCTAGAATTGTGCAAACATCTTGCCTTGTGAGGATTTTCTTGTAAGTTTGCAAAATTTGTATTATTCTCTTTTGGAGAGAGTGTTCTCAAGAATTTTGGGTATAATTCTTGAGGGATTTGTAAGGTTACCCTTTGTCCTCAAAAGAAAGACAAATTAGTGAATTTGTGGAAAATCCTTAGTGTGGATAGCTAAGGTAGTGGACGTAGACTTTGGTTGAGAAAGTCGAACCACTCTAAATCGTTGTGCAAATCTTTTCAATTTTCTGCAAAGCTTCCACCGAAATTTTTATTTGCCAATTCACCCCCTCTTGGCCAACTCCATCGATCGATTAACTCAACAATTGGTATCAGAGCCTCACTTATTTGAAGGTTTAATCGCCTATTGAGTCGATCCGGGAAGAGTTACATCGATTTTCAAAGTCATCAATGACCGTCACTTCAAACTCTGACTTTGGTCTCGATTCGATGCCCGTCAACAAGCCTCATTTCTTAAATAGAGCTAACTATGCCTATTGGAAGAATAGGATGATGTATTTCATTCAAGCAAGTGATATAGGAGCATGGAATATTGTAGAAGACGGATATATCAAGCCTCTCACTCATCCAAGATTGTGGAGTGAAGGAGAGACAAAAATGTTCCAGCTCAACTCCAAAGCCATCCATATCATATTTTGTGCTCTTGGACCAGATGAATATGGAAGAGTTTCATCTTGTACAACCGCCAAAGAAATATGGGATAAACTATAAGTCACTCATGAAGGCACAAACGATGTAAAAGAATCTAAAATTAGTCTTCTAACACATAGCTATGAAAATTTCAAGATGAAACCAAATGAAGATATCAAAGCTATGACGGATAGATTCTCAACGATTGTCAATGGTCTCAAATAATATGGAGGGATCATTCCAAACGAAAAGCTTGTGATGAAGTTAGTTTACTCACTTCCAAAATTATGGCAATCCAAGAAGACTGCAATCATCGAGGCTAAGAACCTAAAGTCTTTAACTATTGAAGAGCTAATCGGTTCCCTCCTCACTCATGAAATGATGCTTGACGATGAGGTGGATCTTGATAAGATTGACGAGACACCAAAGGAGAATGAGAAGAAGAAAAACATTGGAGTTGCTCTCAAAATCCACAAAAGATGAGAGTGATTCGGATGAACATGACTATGATGAGGAAATGTCATTGTTTGCCAAACGGTTCAGAAAAATGATGAG